GACTTCATGATCCACCCGCCTCAGCCTCCCAAAATGCTGGGATTACAGGCGTGAGCCACCGCACCCGGCCCCAGAGTGAACTTTTGTGTATGGTGTGAGGAAGACTAATAACTTTTTAATAAATTAATCATTATTGGAAGATAATGGGGAACCAATTTGTGGTTTTTCAAAAATGGCATGAAAAGGTAAAAGAAGCATTTGTTCTACTTTTCCTTTACAAATGATACCACGATTATCTGTGATGATCTTATCTCGAACCTGAACCTCTGTTGAAAAAAACTATGGATCTGGCTTCTGAGATGGGAAAAAAAAAAAAAAAAGGAAAAAAAGAAAAGATATCATGAGTTAACCCAACAGTTGCTGGGGAGAAGTTTCTCTTCAATGAATTCCACCTCATGAATGTATTAAGCTGTTACCATTCTGCATTCTATAATGAGTTAATGAACGTAGGCCAATTATGTCCATAAATGCTGCTGATGTCACAGAGAGATGCATGATAAAGGACACCCACCACCAGTGTCTGAACATGGAGGGGAGAATCAACTCTGAAGGTGATGTAGCTGCCAGGAGAGAGGAGCATGTTAGCGCCACAAAGATGCAAATAACCTGGCTTCTTCAACAAACCGCAAGGGAAAAAATAAAAATGGGGGAAGCTACAGATTAAAATAAATCTGTTTGGAGAGAAGGGTATTTAATGGAAAATAAAAGAAAAAATTAAAAAATTTGGGCGCAACTTATTTGAATCCTGATTCAAGTAAGCAATAAAAATTATGATGTACAGGAGACAACTGGAAATTCAACTCTGACCCCACACTCTGAGATATTAAGCAATTACTGTTAATTTTTATGTATATAACAGTATGGTATTGTGGTTATGCTTTTATAAAGAAGATTTGTGTCTCAGCGATGCACACTGGAATGTTTACAGGGAAAACTAATTGAGGATGCTGGGCATCAGGTCACTAGTACTGACTGAATTTTTTACAATAAGCAGTTAATCTGTTTTTTAAAACAACAACAACAACAACAACAACAACAACAAAAAAAAACGCTCTCCAGCCCCATACGTCAAAGCCATGCCTAAACAAATGCCAATCTGGAAAAGACCAAAATAAACCATATGAAGATGGGAAGAGCTGCTCTTGGTGATAGGAGCATGGGGACTCTCTCCTCTATCGTGTAAATTCCACTTTCCACCATGCAGGAAAATCCATTTTGAAGGCAGCTCCTCTCTGTGCCGGGGGTGGGTGATCCAGCCTAAGCTAGAATGGCAGCAAGCTCAAGGCAGCTGTGGCCCTCAGGAGAGCGTCTGGAGTCCACAGCACAGTGGGAAGCACAGCAGCAGCTAGTCTGACAGTCATGCACAGACGGGGACAGAACAGCCACTGAAGTGACCTCCATCCTCTCCAGGGAGCCCCGCCCATACCCGAAACCCACAGCGTTTACTCTCTCCAGCCAGCCCCACCCACACCTGCCCACCCTCCTCTCCCTCCTGTTTGGTGAGCGGAGCCTTCACACCTGGCTACATACCAGAAAGATTCAAACAGAAAGGTCGTAACACACGTTTCCAAAACCTCACTCCAAGTCTGAGCCTCCAGGATACCCCAAGCACCCCAAGGTTCTTGAAAAGAGAGCACAGGCCAGAGACAGCCCAGGCTTACTCTGAGTGAGCTGCCCTCACCAGGATGCATCCACAGGCTCCTGTACAAGGAGAGGAGGCAGAAGCCCTCACCGCCAGCAAGTCCTCCTCAATCACCCAGGCCCTCACCACTGCTCTGCTCCATTTCCCACCACGCCCCCCTGCAAATATGGAAGCCACTCTACCCCACAGGGACGACGGGAAAACCTGCCTCCTTCTAGGAGACAGGTGTGGCACAGCTGCTACACAGATAATGAACCTGGGTATGCCGTGCTCCCATCAACACTTTTATTGTAGAAGGTTTGAAGATGTTTTCGGGAAGCCAGGTCTGCATAAAAGAAGTCAACGCAGAAATAAATTCCAATATACTGAACTACCTCAAACAGAAAATCAGAATAGGTAACGAAAATGAACCCTTCACATAAATTATACAGTTTTCTCCCTTTCCTCAGAGAAGGAGAAAAGAACCACCAACTCATCTATATACACAAGCAACTGGCCCTTTGTTCACAACGTAAGTTTACAAGTTTACAATGATGTAAAGACTTTCAGCCTCCTGCTTCCAAAAAGAAAAGGTTTACTTCACTATTGCCTCTTTTTTTCTTTTTTCCAGAGACAGGGTCTTGCTCTGTTGCCCAGGCTAGAGTGCAGTGGCAGGATCACAGCTCACTACAGCCTCAGTCTCCCAGGTTCAGGTGATCGACCCACCTCAGCCTCCTCGGTAGCTAGGACTACAGGCACGCACTACCATACCCAGCTAATTTTTGTTTTTTACCTTATGTAGAGACAAGGTTTTGCCATGTTGGCCAGGCTGGTCTTAAACTCCTGGGTTCAAATGATCCACCTGCCTTGGCCTCCCCAAGTGTTGGGGTTATAGGCGACAGCCACTGTGCCCAGGCTATTTCACTATTCCATCAATGTACTTAAATTCCAATTTTTTTTTAAGTGGCTACAGGGCAATAAGACTATTCCTGTGTCAAATATCAAATTCTAAGGAAAATCTATCCATGTAACGAACCTGCATTTGGATCCTCTGGCTCTAAAAGAAAAGTTGAAATTATGAATAAATAAATAAAACCTTGAAATAAGGGAAGTGGAGGGGGCGCGGGGTGGTGGGGAAAGAAAATCCACATGAAGGGGAAAATGCCCAGAGCAGAGCCCAGGCAGGGAGTTCCCGAGGCTGACTGGGGCAGAGCCAGCCCCCAGCTCTCCTGCCCCACAGAATACTGTGGGCTCCTCTCTGGGCAGGAAGTCAACATAAGT